CACCCCCCACCCCCCTGCCCGCGGGCGGACCCGGAGGCGGCGGGGAAGGGAGGAAGGACGGCCCGGGAGAGCCGGGCAGCAGGTCGCCGCCTCCTCCTCCTCCGCCCCGCGTGCCCACGCCGGGAGACTGGCAGCGGCAGGGGAGGCGCGCAGCAGGTGGCCGGCCGACGTCGAGCGGCGCGAACGGCCCGGAGCTCGTGTCTTCTCGCCCTTCCTTACGGGTGGGAAGGCCACGTTCCTACGGTCCCCGGACAGGGCAGCCGTCTCCTGGGTCCCATCACTCTTCTACCCGGAGAGGGATAGAAGTGTGTGTGTCCTTTGTGCCGACAAGGAGCATGTGAACCCTTTCAAGTGGCCAAGCTTTGTCTACCGATAGCAAAACTTTCCTGTAAGCATTCGGGGTGTTTTTAAAAGAAAAATTATTTTTTATTTTATTATATTTCTATCCCGCGGGAGCGGCTCAGGGCCGCTTACAACCAGTGCTCCCTCTAAGCTGTGGAGCAAAAATTCTACCTTCTGAGCTCCTGGCATTAAAGTGGTGAGCAGTTAATTTGGCTGCTCTATCGATTAGTTTGCTCTGGAGCCATCCCTTCCTGAGCTAAGGCAAAAATGGGTAAGCCGGAGGCTAAAGAACTGTGAGCTAACTCACACTAACTCAGCTTAGAGGGACCACTGCTTACAACACAACTTCAAAACCAGCATAAATATATACATACAATACAGTTCAATCAAATTCCAAATAACTGCAGTAAAAAAAGATTCAAGCTCCCGGGTATGCAATAGATAGTATTCCTTTCCTGAGTAGGAGGATTGGGACCACAGAGGGAGGTGTCCTAGTGAAACGCGGGTGATGGCTCCATGGCCGCCTGTGTTTTCTGGATTAAGAAGACGCGGGTCAGTTTGATGGCTCCATGGCCTGCCTGTGTTTTCTGGATTAAGAAGATGCGGGTCAGTTTGATGGTTCCATGGCCGCCTGTGTTTTCTGGATTAAGAAGACACCGGTCAGTTTGCAGGCTTTCTGCTTCCTACCTGTTGGCCTTCTCGGCAGATGGTCCTGCATCTAGGTCTGGGAGTGGTGTGGTGGTTCATGTTCTTGCGGCAGATTCGCATCAGGGACCCTCTCTTAGCCAGTGTTCCCTCTAAGGGTGTCTGTTGTGCAAAGTGGAAAGGAACGGAGTTTGTAAAGTGCTCTGAGATTCCTTTGGGTAGTGATGGGCGGGGTATAAATCCTATCTCTTCTCCTTCTTCTTCTCTACCATCATTGCCGGTTGGTATGAATACAGTTTATATACAGTATTAGTTCAGGGAGTTCCTGAAATACCCATTGAACGAGATTTCCTGAATAAATTACTTAACATTCATTTCCGTGGCTTTTGCTGTCCACTTTCTCCTATAAGGTTGACAGAAACTTGGGGCTTCTTCCGGTAATAAGAACATCCTGATATGTAACACAGGATTTCTGCCGAAGATGTAAATGTTTGCAACTTCATCATTCGGCAGTTCTTGCCTTCTATACAAATGCTTCAGACTTGTCTGCAGTCTTAGGTTATCTTACATCAGAATGGGCCAAACAAAAATATATTTGAAGTCTAATAATCATATATAGGCCCCGGTCACACGGGCCAGAAAATGTGGGGGGGGGGGAGGCATGGCTCTTTGCGCCATTGCAATCTGATGCGCGATTAGGCGATCAGATTTGACGGTGGCACACTGGGACTACCGCCGTCGGCACGCGCAGCAAAGAGGACGCCGGCGCGATCACACCATAGGAGTCCGGAGGCAGCCCGTGGCAAACCATTTGTAGGCTGATCCTGATAGCTTTTAACTACGCAGCTTTGGCGGCTTGCTGCGGGTTGGCCATGGGAGTGCTACGCCTCCCAGATGTTCCGGTGAGATCGTGCCCGGAAAATCCGCCGGAGTGCCGTGCTTTCAGCGGGGCAAATGCTCCGTGTGACCGGGGCCTTAAGCTAATCATGATTTAAGATGTTACAGTTCTAGCCATCTGTGTGGTAGTAAGATGTAAATTGTATTAATGACAATAAAGGAAAGGTTGGAAATAAAGATGCAAATCCAAGTAATTGTATTTCTGCTCTTCTATGGTTTTAGCTTTTATTTTCAAATACAGTTAGATTTTCGCTTAGGAAAACAATTTGTTATAAGGAGACTGGTTTGGTGTTTGCTAGGTTCATAAAAACTGCATGCAGGTTAGGTTTGAAAACAGTTGAAATATGCTAATTAGCAACAGGCTTGAGTGTCATATGACACATTCCCAAAGTGCTGAACAGGTGTTCGCTCCATCTGAATTTCTGACCATGGAAAGCATGACAGTCCTTTTGAAAGGAAGCTGTGGTTGTAATTCACCCTTCCTGAAGACCCAGCTAATACTTGGATGAGGCTTGCTTTCTAGTTATACATTTTTCGACCCTTTTGACCTCGGCCTGCACTATCTACCCACAAAATGAAAGGCTAGCTCTTCCTCCATTCAGAGATTGGCTGCATTGTGTCTTTTTGTAGGTGACGGAGCTGGTTCTTGACAACTGTCGGTCTAGCAATGGTGAAATTGAAGGCCTGAATGACACATTTAAAGAATTAGAGTTTCTCAGCATGGCCAATGTGGAGTTGACGTCACTGGCCAAGCTCCCCAACTTGACTAAACTTCGAAAGGTGAGTGGTGTTGGGCTGCAAAAGGTGAGTTTTTGCCAGTGGGTGGCCTGAATCATAGAATGTGAGAGTGGTAATAACTATGTATTGTTTGTTTGGGAGTTTAAGGAGAAGATAATAAATAGTTTTTTAAGCAATCACCAGCAACAATGGGGGGAAAACTTTTCATTTAATATACACATATTAAGCAGACATTGCCAGTGACACTGTGTATAATATGATGTAATAGTATGTATAACGTTCCAAAATGTATGAGATTTTTGTTGCAAACATGTTACGTGGAAAATAATAAAATATTAATTAAAAAAAAGAATGTGAGAGTGGGAAGGGACCTTGCAGGTCATCTACTCCAACCCCCTGCACTCTGCAGGAGCACAGCCGAAAGAGAGCCCTACAACATACCTGGAAGACGGTCGTCCAGCCTCCGCTTGAAAACGTCCAGCGAAGGAGCCTCCACCACCTCCCGAGGCAGTCTGTTCCACTACTCAATCACTCTTACAGTCGGGAAGTTCCTCCTGATATTTAGCCGGTATCGACTCCCTTGTTGTTTCCACCCATTAGATCTAGTCTTGCAATCCGGAACAAGAGAGAATAGATCTGCTCCATCTTCTACATGACGGCCCTTCAAATACTTGAAAACTGCAATCATTCATGTCCCCTCTAAGCCTTCTCTTTCCCAGGCTAAACAGACCCAATCCTTTCAGCCTTTCCTCATAAGACTTGGACTCCAACCCTCTCACCGTCCTGGCTGCCCTCTTCTGGACACGCTCGCGCTTGTCAACATCCTTCCTAAAACGTGGTGCCCAAAACTGGACACAGGACTCCGGGTGAGGCCTGACTGTAGCAGAATAGAGCGGAACGACCACCTCCCGTGATCTGGACACGAGGCTTCTGTGAATGCATCCTAAGATTGCATTGGCTTTCTTCACAGCCACATCGCATTGCATGGAAACTCTTCCATGAATTTGGATGGGGAAGACGTGAACTGATTTGGGGATCAGTCAGCCAAAACTGCACTACAAAGGTTATTCCTGGCAAAAAGATACCCACACACCTACATCATTGGATTTTATGTGACGAAGGGAGATTTGACTCTGAAAAGCTCGTACCACGCCAAAAAAATCTTGTTTGGTCTCTAAAGTGCTACTGGACTCAAATTTAGCTATTCTGCTGCAAAGCAACACACCTACCCTCTGGAAATATCAGGGCATTATCCTTGAACGGTATTTACACATAACTTTAAATGGGTTACAGTTTTCATTTTCTCTGTTAAATGTGTGCCCCCCCCCCTCTTTTTATTAACAATTTTTTAATTTTAACAAAACAAGAAGATAGAACTACAACATGAAATACGATTACATCTTACGCAGGGCTCTTTTTGTAGAAAAAGCCTAGCAGGAACTCATTAGCATAATAGGTCACACCCAACAGCAGAAACTCATTAGCATATTAGGCCACACCCCTGACAGCACAGCTCATTAGCACATTAGGCCGCACCCCCGTGTTACCAGAAGTGTGGTCATCCAGCCACGCCCACCTTTTGCTTGTTATGCTGTTTACCTTGTTTGTTGTCAAAACCCAGGGCCTTTTTTGTAGCAGGAACTCCTTTACATGTTAGGCCACACACCCCTAATGTAGCCAATCCTAATGAGTTTCTGCTGTGGGGTGTGGCCTATTATGCTAATGAGTTCCTGCTGGGTGTGGCCAACCTGGGAGCCAGCCGGAACTCTGTTCCTTTGCGTTTCTGCCCAAAAATAGCCCTGCATCTTAGTAATTAAAAATAGATCACGTTGTTCATACAGAGGATTTTGTGGAAGTAAGTCGTTTCCCATCAAATAACTTACTATTGGATGCCAGACTTTAACCACTTTCTTCTGATATTGAGTTACTGAACCATTAACGAAGCTGAAGGTTATTTTGCTTAAAATAAAGTATTCCCAGATTTTGTTTAGCCACTGTTGTTGTTGTTATTATAAGTTTAATTTATCAGTTTTATCCAGTATTACATATGGTAGATCATAGACATTCGAGTCTACATTTTCCAAGAGTTATTTATCCACTTATACACTCTTGCCCACCTAATTGTATGAATACATTCGTCTTTCCCTTGTAACATCAAATTTAGTTTGTCCATTTGTATTAGTTCAAGCAGACGATATGCAGTATGCAGACAATACCACTCTAATGGCAGAAAGTGAAGAGGACACGAGCCTCTTGCTCAGGATAAAAGAGGAGAGCGCAAAAGTGGACTTGAAGCTCAACATAAAAAAAACTAAGATCATGGCATCCAGCCCCATCACTCCTTGGCAAATAGAAGGGGAAGTCGTGGAAGTAGGGACAGATTTCACGTTCCTGGGATCCCAGATCACCGCAGACTGTGACAGCAGCCATGATATTAAAAGACGCCTGCTCCTTGGGAGGAAAGCGATGGCGAACCTAAACAGCATGATAAAAAGTAGAGACATCTCCCTGCCAACAAAGTCCACATGTTCAAAGCAATGGTATGCCCAGTAGTCATGTATGGCTGCGAGAGTTGGATTATAAGGCAGGCCGGGCTCAGAACTTTTGAACTATGGTGCTGGAGAAGACTCTTGAGAGTCCCTTGGACTTGAAGAAGATCAAATAAGTCAACCCTAAAAGAAATCAACCCTGACTGTGACCTGGAAGGCCAGATAATGAAACTGAACCTCAAATACTTTGGCCACCCAATGAGAAGGGAGCACTCACTGGAGAAGACCCTGATGCTGGGAAAGATTGAAGGTCAAAGAAGATGGGGACGGCAAAGGACGAGATGGTTAGACAGTGTCATCGATGCAACGAACATGAAATTGAGCAAACTTCAGAGGACGGCGGAAGACAGGAGGGCCTGGTGTGATCTTGTCCATGGGGTCGCGAAGAGTCGGACTTGACTGGGCGACTGAACAACAACAACAAAGTAAACTGAATTAATAGAGGCTGTGGCTCAGTGGATAAGCCTCTGCTTGGCATGAAGAAGGTCCCAAGGTACCTTCTGTGCGACTGAACAACAACAACAACTAATAGAATTGTTTCAGGTTCTAACTGTATTTCAACTTGTTGTATTTCTTGTATTTTTGCCACTATTTGACCCCAGAAATCCTGAATGAAAGGACAGGTCCAATGTGTGCCCTTTTGATCTTCATAAGAGTTGTAAACAGGAAGGCAAAGCTAACAAACAAAGACTGCTTAGGTGATGCCACTGAGCAGACGTCATAGCTAAGCAGTTCTTGTTATGAAGCTTTGGGAAAATATTTGCCTTAAATATTTGAACTACTACAGATCACTGTTTGGCTCTGGAGAAATTATAGTGTGACTGTCATGATCTGGGCTGGGCCACCAGAGGCCTACTAGGCCCAGGAAGCCTGGCTAGCAGTAGGTGAGGCTGGGCCTACAACTCCCAGAAGTCCCTGAGAGGCTTTGGAGCCAAAATTGATCAACAGGGAAAAAGAGGGCTGGGGAATATAAGAACTGGTACAAAAGGAAAAGCTGTTCTTCTTCCCAGGAAACAGGGCCAAAAAAGAGGCTGCTGTGGGGAAGAAACCCTCATCCTGAGGGAAGGGTGAGTAGTCTAAAGCCACTGCAGATAGTGAGCTAAGGACAGTATATTTAGACGCGTAAGGGCATTTGATTTCTTTTCACCCACTTACTGTTATTCTGCACCTCCTATACAATAAACTGTTTTCATTGTTGTACTCTGCCTGGTCCTCACGCCTATTATTCGGCCAAACAAGGGAGGTCTGAAGGTCTTGGGAGGGTGCTCTGGGCCTTATCAAGGGATCCTAAATCCAGAGTGGTGGCAGCGTCACGTGCCACCCCACCTGAGCCGTGACAGTGACGCTTAGGGTATCCTTTGAGTAACGGAAGTACTAGAAATCTAAACAAGAGTTGTAGAATATTTCTTATTTTACCAAAATAATAGTCTTGTGAGAGTATCAAGTCCTGATTTATGTGATATTTATGTATTGCAGCTGGAACTGAGTGACAACCTAATTTCAGGGGGCCTGGAGGGCCTGGCAGAGAAGTGTCCCAATCTCACATGTTTGAATCTGAGTGGCAACAAAATCAAAGATCTCAGCACTGTGGAAGCCCTGGTAAGTGTAACAGGGAATACAAACGGAGACTTAGAATAAGCATTGGCAGAAGGTGTGTGGATAATAAACTTGCAACGGAAGGCAGGGGTCATTTCGTAGAAAGAGAGGTGCAGGCGCTCATTAGCATAGCTCATTAGGGTAACTTATTTGTATATGCCACACCCTCTGACATAACCTGAAGGGTGTCAGAAGGCCACACCCACCGCTCAGGCTCCACTGGACTGTTTTGGATTGCTAACTATTGGGGGGGGGGGGACGGGGAGACCTGTTCTCGCCGGGGGG